TCAAAGCGTGAAGATCACCATGTTGGGAAGCGGCATGGATTCCGGGCACGGCGCGAGAATCTCCTGCGCCACCTTGCGCTCCTGCCGGGGACTTGGAAGGTGGCCATTGCACTCCAAAGGGAAGTCCAAGCAACCCAAACAGGAAACAAGTCGCACATACTTGGGTGGTGTCTCTTCTGTGTTTTTGTCACATACATCATTCTTAAGTTACGTTACCCTAGAAGCAACTTAGATGTGTCGCCCCTTGCCAGAGTAAGGTCCACACCTTGGATGGCCATGCAACATCTCTTTCATGCGTGTATGTGTATGTGTTTGTGTGTTTATGCGTGTCAGACCCTCCAAGTACGGGGGTAGGCAAGTACCACATCCTGCCATATTTGCAAATGGGTAACATGCCCCGGCGTGCGTAACTACCCTCTCTTCGCTAGCAAGCCACGTGTCCACACTTGTAAGTAGCTTGCCAGACATTCAAACTACTTGGAGGACGCGCAAGTAAGTAACATGCCATACTTTGTACGACACCTATCTTTGTCAGTAAGATTCCTGCACTTGCAAAAGCGTACCCCCCCCCCCGGCCCCTGCCCACCCAGCCTGTAAGTAACATTAACATGTGCTACTTACAAAGCAAGGCACTCCGGAGACTCCACCGATAAAATCTCACGTTCCCGGCAAGTCGCAAAAAAGTTGAGCCCCTGCCAAAATCCTCGATAAAGGAACAGGACAACCACGCCCCCCACCCCCCACCTCACGCAAGCAAGCAACATGACCCGTCTGACATCCCCTCCCGCAAGTAGCTTTCCCAGCCCTTCCCCCTATCCAGTGAATTTGTATTGAGTACAAAGAAGAAAGCAAGCAGGCAAGTAAGCCAAGCTTCCACTCCACCTCCGACTCGCTGTGCTTGTCGTTTTTTTCTGGGGCCACTGCCTTCTTGAACAGCCCTAACTTTGCCACTGCAAGGCGCGCTCTCTGCTCTCCACCCTTCCTGGTCAACCTCCAGCTCACTGTCGCTGACTCTGGTCTCAGGAGGCACTGCGGTGCTAGCCTCACCTGAGCAAGATTCCAGTCAACTGCATGGGGGTGGACGGACTTTTACTTCGTCATCTTGGACTAAAATGACTCTCATTAGGCTAGCAAAATAACATGACTCTCATTAGGCTACCAGCCAGGCCAGAGGATACTGGGAACATCACGCCCATAGCGGCAGGAAGAATGCGCGCTTGGCCTTCCTTTTTGACTATCAGTTCCTAGTTGCGCACCTGCAAAGGGAAGCCTGTGATGTACAAGAAGCTCCTCAATTCTTCGCCGAGCTTCTGTCCGAGTGCTGTTGCGCTGGCTTCGGGGGTTTGAAGCCGCCATCGATGGCTGCTTTGATGATCAGGCCTATCGGGCACGGGTCAAGATCCTCGCAAAGCAAGAACTCGCTTTGAACCAAACAAAGCTCGGCATACCCAGCAGGGCGAATTGCGTGGGTTCCCCACGTGGCAGCCTTCTCCTCTGCCAGCTTGCTGTGTGGTACACTAGTGGGCAAAACGCCCACAAGGCCACCCACAAACACATGGACAGTCACCGCCCTTGGCAAACACGGAAGGCATGCGGAAAGTGCTTAAGCTGGCAGGTGCCGGTGAGGTTCACACACGCAGCTGCTAGCTTTTGTTGAAGACTTTGGCTTACACATGTCAAGCTTGCTTTTGCTGACGCCCACCTCCGGCCCTTGCTGACAGTTCCCGCTGTTGGTCCCCCGGCAGCTGAGCTCGCCACTCCGCCCATGCCAACGTGTGGACAAACCCAACCAACCGGCGCGAACCCACCAAATGCTAGAAGAAAAAGAAGAAGAAGAAGAAGAAGAAGAAGAAGAAAAAAACGCCCTCCCGTCTTTTCGGCCCCCCCCCTTCTAGGCGGGGGGGGGGGGGCAAATTTCGGGGGCTCCGTCCAACCCCCCTCCTTTCCGCCCCCTCAACCGGTCAACCGGCACCGGTTGCGCGCCTCCGAAGCCCTGGGGCAGCAGCCCGTGGTGCATGACCCAGGCCGCCTGGCTCAGCTCCTGCTGCATCTGCTGCTCCTGCACGAAGCCCAGCACCTCAGCGGCGCGACGTGCGTGGCGCGACGCGACCCAAACGCGGCGCGCCTTGGGGACGGGGCAAAACACCAGTGGCAAAAAGCTTTGAGAGAAGACGGGTAAAAAGACGAGCCTCGAGTCACTGGGCGGGGAAATCCAGAAGAATGAGGGGCCAAACGAGATTTCGCCGCAAGTGGCGAAATGTTGCGGTGTCACTGGGAGCATTGACAGTGACTCAAGCCGGAATTCGGAATTGCTCATGGTCAATCTTATGATAGTATCAACTTCATTGCCTAAATGCATTCTTGCGTTTAGGATGATGATTCCTGCCAGAGAGTGGTCACCACATAATTTGTTGAATGCAACCCTGGGATCCTGGATGCCTGAGTTACGAGAAGAAGGGGGAAGTCCTTTTTTCCCGTCAAACTACGTTCTCTTCTGGATCCAGCCCCCTCGCGGCCCATCTGCTCAGTGGACTGAGCCCCCCACGCAATTGAGGTTTCTGCCAAGCAGGAATGGATCTTCAACCTTGCGGTTTGCGCCGAATGAACGGAGAGTGCCACGGGCAATGAACGGAATCACAGCCGGTCTGTCTACGTCTGTCTGTATCTGTCTGCGTCTGTCTGCATCTGTCTGTCTCTGTCTCTGTCTCTGTCTCTGTCTGTGTCTGTATGCGTCTGTCTGCATCTGTCTGTCTCTGTCTCTGTCTCTGTCTCTGTCTTTGTCTCTGTCTGTGTCTGTCTGTGTCTGTCTGCGTCTCTCTGTCTCTGTCTGTCTCTGTCTCTGTCTCTGTCTCTCTCTCTGTCTCTGTCTCTGTCTCTGTCTCTGTCTCTGTCTCTGTCTCTGTCTCTGTCTCTGTCTCTGTCTCTGTCTCTGTCTGTGTCTGTCTGCGTCTGTCCTGTCTCTGTCTGTGTCTGTCTGTGTCTGTCCGCGTCTGTCTGCATCTGTCTGTCTCTGTCTGTCTCTGTCTGTCTCTGTCTGTCTCTGTCTCTGTCTCTGTCTGTGTCTGTTTGTGTCTGTTTGTGTCTGTCTGTGTCTGTCTGCGTCTCTCTGCGTCTGTCTGTCTGCGTCTGTCTGCGTCTGTCTGCCTCTGTCTGTGTCTGTCTGTGTCTGTCTGCGTCTGTCTGTTTCTGTCTGTGTCTGTCTGTGTCTGTCTGCGTCTGTCTGCGTCTGTCTGCGTCTGTCTGCGTCTGTCTGCGTCTGTCTGCGTCTGTCTGTTTCTGTCTGTGTCTGTCTGCGTCTGTCTGCGTCTGTCTGCGTCTGTCTGAGTCTGTCTGTTTCCGTCTGTGTCTCTCTGCGTCTGTCTGCATCTGTCTGTTTCTGTCTGTGTCTCTCTGCGTCTGTCTGCATCTGTCTGTTTCTGTCTGTGTCTGTCTGCGTCTGTCTGCGTCTGTCTCTGTGTCTGTCTCTGTCTCTGCCCGTCTGTCTGTAACGGGCTCCCTCCTCGCCTGCATCCGCATGACCTCAAGCCCAGGCAACTGCGCGAATTCGAAGGCAGCCTCCTCCGGGCCCAGCCTTCGTCCCAGCCGGACCGACACCACCTGCGCGATGGCGGCGATGAGGCGAGCGGCCGTCGGCCGGAGCTTTGGTTTTGCATGGCTTTGAGGTGGGGCCATAGGAGCTGCTGAATTTGTGAGCGTCTCTCTTTGCCGGCTGAGACTGTGGTCACAGACAACGACACCCGATGCGAGCATCCGGATGTGGCACGAGTCCAAAGCATGACAACTGATGCGATTGAGACGGTTGAAGCTGTACATAATGCAAACTGCCACGACATGATCGACGCGATCGGCAGCGCATCATCCTCCGTGGTGTCACAAGAAAGGCTTTGGCTTTGGGGGTTGGAGGGCTGAATGGCTAGCATGTGTGTGCGTGTGTGCTTGCACTCGCTACGGGCTGTTGCGTGGGAGCAGCCAAAAAGCTGCAGCAACAACCAAGCATGTCAGCTGTTCATGTGCGTTCCAAACGGCAATATACATTTTTGTTTAAGAAGCCTACATGCATATACATTATACATATGCTGATGTGTGTATATATATATATATGTACACCTAATATATATATATATATATGTATACATAGAGTGTCTCTCAAAATCAGAGACCCAGAAAATCGGCAGGGTTCCAAAGCCCAAAGCTTTGGCCTCCCATTGGGCCTCCCCCCGCGAGCCTCAGCTCCCCACTGGAAGTCAAAGGCATAGAAAGACAGGAATCGCGCCAGCAGCTGGTGCGGCAGAAGGTTGCAGCTCCAGCGCGCCTGAGACTCAGCTGCCGTGGCGCCTTGTTGAAAATACAAAGTCGGCAAGCACGGCAGCTGCGTCTCCGGATGCACTTGGAGAAAATAGATCACCATCAGAGTCCAGGAGTAGGAGGACAAGTGCCCTGCTTTGGCGCCCACCAGTCCAAGGGCTCTAGTCCACTGCTTCACTAGGACCACGATCTGCCGGACCAGTGGATGCATCTTAGCATATGCTTTTAAGAGCTCTGTGTTCAGCAAAGCTTCTTGGTTCTGACATGACAGATCCACCTCCAACGTTCTGCCCTCGTCCAGAAACTTCATCTTCAGGATAGGCACGCGAGCTGACCAGATTGCTTCTACCAGCGTAAATTTATCATCCCGTTCAATCAACGGCATGAGCTTGCTTTTCAACTCATATATTGCAAGACTGTCCTGCGAAAAGGGGGGGCGATGCTCTGCAACATCTAACCGGCTGAGGACTTATCAAGATCTCATTTAAAAACAATGGCTTGCCCGGAGGGAAGCAATCAAGAGAAACGAACAAAGACGGGAGAGAGAGCGAGAGAGAGAGAGAGAGAAGGAGAAAGCGAGTTGATGTGGAGTAAGAAAAGAACAAGGGCACTGACAGAAAATGAGGAGAGAAGTAAGCCATATTGAAAGCAATTTCACAGTGCTAGAACTGAACGAGGAAAGACGTGGAGAAATCCAGACATGAGAGCACAAGGGGCTAATCAGAACGCTCAAACATGAAGACGCAAAGAAAAGCTCGAATGAGAAGCAAAGAAGCCAACCAACACCATTGAACAGCGCCGGCACCCACGGTTTGGTTCCCTTGTACATAGGCCTTGCTAGAAGCCCCATGAAGGCAGGTAGAGCCATCCACATGGCGAAGCCCAACGGGAGCTCAGTTGGAATTCAATGAATGGGGGCAAGGAATGAAGAAGAACAAGAAACACTGGATTTGCAATCACTAACCACAACAAGGACGAAGCCGCTGTATCTCTCCAATTGACTTTTCCGCCCAAAACGACGGACGAGGACATAGCCGAAAAACCAGGGGACCGTGCCAGTGGCAACAGTCGACTTTTCCTCGCTTGCTCTTTGTCAACCCAGCCGACAACTCACCAGAGGCGCCCCAGTGTTGAAATACATTTAAGTGAATCATAAAAGCAACGTAAGTCATGAGTGCTTCTCAAAATGGCAAAACAAATTCCTTGGCTTCCTTTTGTCGCCCCTTAAAAACCCAACCAAACAGGGCCCGAAGTCCACGTCGCGAAAAACCGAAAACCTTTCCTCCCGCTAGCCGCGCCCCGTCCCTCGTCGTCCCGTCCTGGCCGGCGCGGGGCCTGAAGCAGGTGACGTCGAGATCCGAGTCTTTGATGGCGAAGCCGTTGGCACTGCTTCCAAAGGGACGCACGCACCTCCGGCTCAAAGCATGGCCCAGAGGGGGGCTCGTTTTAGCAAAGGATTACGCGGGTAAACATATCCAAGAAACTGGGGTTCAAGAGCTGGAAGCCCCGGTGGGTTTTGAAAAAAAAATGCGGGCATCAAAACATATCCAATAAACTGCGTTCAACCGATCCACGACATTCGCAACCATGAACTCGAAAAATGAAAACGGGGAAGGTTCATTCACTTTTTGCCACGCGGCCAATCACCATCCAGGTTGCGCAGCAAGGTTTCCAGGTGCTGCAAGCAGCGAGCGACATTCTCCTTCTCCGAGTCGCTCATCGCACTTGAGACAAGAAGGGCCCTTGGAGGAGGCGACTTGTTTTTTTGCGACCGCACAAAAGATGCGGCGCGGTGCACGGGTTTTTGCAACGCCCGGAAGGTGCGACAAGCCAAAAGCCGGGAGACGCCTAACACATGGCAAGCGCTGAGCCGAAGACTCGCATGCAGCTGAGCCGCTGGACATCATCAGGATTCACCGGCACACCTGGGCCAGCGCTCTCGCAGGCGAGTCTCACAAGCGAAACTGGAGCCTTTGGAGCCCCCTCGCCTGGAACCCAGTGGGTCAAAACCCCGAAATGGGTTGCCCTGGTCAATGGAAGCATGGACTCAACCCTGCGGCCCACTGAAAGCAAAAAATGGCTCGCAAGGAGTGAGTGGTGCATGCTCCTGAAAAAAAAGGAGAAGAAGAAAAAACATGCAAAAAAACATCCCATGTCTTTTTCGAAGAAAAAAAAAAAAAGATCCCCACAAAAGCCGGTTCCTTGAAACCAAGCACCTGGGCTCGCCAGGTCTCCTTCCCCGCACCCCGCACCCCCGCACCCCGAGAGAGCGGCGTGAGGGTACCGACATCGAGCTGATGGATTGAAGGGCGGCGAAGCTCTTCAGCTTTGAGCCAGTTGCGGGCGCCAGGAACCTCGAGACCTCCAAAAAGGGTGTTGGTCTGTTTTCTTTGTTGTAAAAAAAAAGGTTGTGAAGTTGTGCTTGTTGTACAAACCTGGAGACCCCGAAAAAGGTGTTGGTCTGTTGTTTTTGTTAAACAAACAAAAAAAAGGTGAATGAGATGAGATGAGATGAGTGAATCAGTGAATCTACGATTTATATAGAGAATCGTCCGGGACTCGGACTCAAAGTGGATCAAAGCCGGGAAAAAGGATCGAACAGTGCGCCTGAAACAGCGAGGCAAGAGGTCGGCCTTTCGGTGCCAAGATGAGCTTGGGGCAATTCCGCAATCCTCCTGCGAATATTTATTTTAAGAAGACCTTTTCAACCCATCGGAAGGCGCCGAAGCGTAAGACCTGAGCATTGCTTCCTGCTAGAGTCACGACCCTTGCGCAGATGCAAACCTATGAGCTGAACCGTGGATTTGCTCATTGCCTTATCGTGCCCAGAGTCCCCGCTGGAGTGGCACTCCACCGTTGAAGTCACTTGTCAGGCTGGGGCTTGCACTCAGTCATCTTCCTAAGATCGCTGCAGCTTGGCGGATTCCACCAAAGTCGCCCGGGTGGAAGCGTGCTCGTGCCAATGCGGGGGCGTGAATTGCCTGCGTGCCTGCCTTCTTGCGGGCCCTGCATACGTGCCAGCGCGCCTTCACGCCTGAAAGATTCAGCGGGCCGGAGGCGGGCATGCAGACGGGGCATGTGTGCGTGAGGTGCATGCGCACCATACTGTCCATGGAAACTCTGCCAAGGCTCCTCGGGTGCGTCAAAGAGGTCGTTCAACTGCCGCTGCACAACTGCCATCAACTCCACCGCCCTGAGACAACACACAGTTTGATTGGACCTGGCCAACGATACCTGGAGACTGGAGACTGGACCGCCGCTGGTTGATCAAACCATACCAAGCAAAGGCTCCTTGACGTTGCCAAAAAAACCCGACACTTTGTGTGGGCTAACAATATAAGAGCATTGGATTTGAACAACTGGGTTAGGCGGTGCGCTCAAGGAAAGACGGGCGCAAACATCGGAAATCCGTGCTACTTAGCAAACACATTGCTTGTTCCGAGGCTGCAACGGCGTCAGCAGTGCTTGCTTCCCCATCTCACACTTGCCCGCCCCTGAGCAGCCGGCAAGCTTTTAAGCGAATCCGCCTGCTTGATGGCTGCCCGGTCTGCGCAAGGCACTACTTTGAACATCCGAAAATCCGCGACCCTGAACAAAGGTCATGTTTGAACCTCTCACCCGGCTTGACCAGAGCGGAGGCGTCGGGACCTGGACAGCGGGATGGGCCCTGCGGAAGCGAAATGGGATCCACGGATCCACCACCCTCGATGCGTGGGAAGGTCTTGTATGCCAAGGGCTCGACAAAACATTGGACCGCCACTTCAACCAGCTGGCGGGCGAAACTGGGGGCAAAATATTACGGCAATAACCCGCTGCAACACCTGCACACCAACGCCCCGCCTTGCCTCGCGCTTCAAGCAACACAAGAAGGACCGAAGACCGCTCGCAAACCGTGCAGTGTTAGTCCGCCCCTCTGGTCGAACAGAACACGCCCGCGTGCCACAGGTGCAGCCCACGTGCAACAGGTGCAGGCCGGCCAGACCCCCAGCCGCCCAGCCCCCGCAGCACGATAGGCCCAATAAGTTTACAACCCTTTGGAAGCCACGTAGGCCTCTCATGCACCCAAGCAAAAATCCCGTGTGCACCCGACCACCAAGATTGAGAGTTTCACTTCCAAAGCCTCCCTCGAAGGCCCAAAAAATGTTGCCGGAGAAAATAGCTGCTTAAAAAACCACAAGACATCAACCATGTCAAGGGAAAGGGACGAGGGCAGTTTCAGAGAGAGGGAAACTTGAGAGGGGAATTTGATCCGGCAAATCAAGCTTGACACCGAAAAAGCCCAAAGTCCGCCTTCCTCTTTAATCTCCAGCAAACGCTCTAGTTCTTGATGTAAGTCTTTCCATGCCTGGCCACGTCTCCGCTCGTCGAAAAGCCCGGCTAACAAGAGACAAAAACGGCGCCCTCGCTTGCATTAACCATTCGAACTCGGGCATTGCGCAAAAGACTCCGTCAACAAGTTCAAGCATCCGGACAAGGAGCGTTGCTACATGTGTACCGTTCGAATTACTTCGTTCAGCAGAACTTCGCATTCAACAGGTGCGTGACCCTGCAGCACCCACAAGGCCTCACCCTTTACTCGCTATAGTGCTTGTGATCCGCTGGGAATCATAGGTATGGTTCGAAGGAGTGCAACCCGAGCTGGTGTCAACGCCAAAAATCACTTCGCCTCTGTCTCGCTCAGGTAGCTCTCGCTCAGCGTCTCAATGGGAGCTTGCGCCTTGCAGCACATTCCGCTCACGGCACCGGCCGTTAAGAATACACACATGTGCATATGCGTCGATAAGTCGGTGTGTATAAACATATAGGGGCATACGTGAACATGCATATGTGTGTGTGTGTGTGTGCACATGTGTATATGCATTGTATCTGCGCATGTGTGGCTGTGTTGCACATGTGCTACATATGTGTATATGTGTTGCATCTGTCTATATGTTTCTACACATACTGTATTGTATTTATGTGTATGCGTACGTGTATAAATATATGTGGATATCTATATCTATATACATATATACATGTAAAAATGTAAATGCGTGGTTTGTGTGCTATGTGTACATGTGCTTATGTGTATATGTGTGAATGTGTACTGTGAATATATATATATATATATACAAGAAACACACAGGTTGACTTGTTGCGAGTCCCGACTGGGCGTGTGACAAATTACCCCGCTCACACAAACTGCCCCCCCCCCCCCACCAACCACCTAACCAAAACCACAAACACACAAAGCAAACCCCGTACCATCCACCAAAGGAAGAACGCTACCAACCACCAAACAAAACTCCCACTACCAACCACTAACAATGAAACAACAGAGGATAAGTTCAACTCTGAGATGGGAAAAGCCAACACTGCATCAAACCCTTCCAAAGGCTTCCGCGTAATGCAAGCCACTCTCCGCCCATCCACACGGACGTCCCTAGACCTGACAAGAGAGTGGCCTGCTCGCTTCGGCTCGGAACAGCCAAGGTTCTCACCAAGTGCTTCAACCAACTCGACCAAACACAACCCAAAAACCACAAACAAGGTGAGTTCCTGCAAATGTGATTTTAATTGGGACGTGTCTATGTTAAACAAGGTGTCAATGCGTGTGTTCTATATATATATATGGCTAATGCACACATGTGGCAACAGATTCTTGAAGATATGCCTCGAGTCAATTACATCGAGTCGCCAACGCTGATGCCCAAGTAGCAGCGGCTGTGTTGGTCAACAAGTCAACTTGAGTAAAGCTTCCTCGAAACATGCGTGCAAAGCGCCTGGGCTCCCGCCTTCTTTTCGACCAATTCCCGCACCTTTGGGGCCAGCCAGGCATTCTTGCCCACGGCCTTCTTGATGAATGCCTTCCCGTGGGCCCGCAAGCAGCCGCCGACACAAAAACGCCCAGCCAGCCGCAAAACGCCAGCCCATCAGGCCTACTCCCATTGGCCCATCAGCCCACCTCGAGGCTGCTGGTTCCAGAAAGTCGGTGCTCCAACTCCGGCTCCATCTCCTCGAACTCTTCAAGGCTACGGTTCACCAGCTTGGTGATTTCCTCCAGAAAAGCGCCCGGCTTGGAACTGAACATTTCCCAGCAGGAAAAAGCGACATGGTTGAACGACTTGGTTCCTGAAGGACCCGATTCCTTTCCGTGCCCTTTCTTCGGGATCCCGATTCGGCCAGGGCAGAACCAAAAAACTATGATCACCCCGCAAAATCATGATGAGCTTCTGCAACATCTCCCCTTGATGTCTTTAAATTGGCTGGAAAAGAAGGCAAACGTCGCACACAAAGATCCCTGGTCTCTCCTCGATGCCTACCGCCAGCATCCAACTTTGACTGGGGGGGTGGGCCTGGGGCGGGCAAGCCATGTGCACTCCTGGATCATGTTGTCCTGCTTCGAGTCTTTGTCAGACCTGTCGTCCCACATCCTAGGCTGCACGGCGCCCCGGACCTCTTGCTTTTCAACGCAAGACTCTCTCCAAAAAAACAAATCGGCGAACATCCAGACAGGGTTGATTGCTCCAAACGCCTCGTTTGAGGGGATCTTGATTGATCTCCAAGCAACGCCCGCGTGTTTGCCCTGCCAAACGCGCTGTGTCGGGCAGCCGGAATCCTAGCGAACTCGTGACTTTTTGCTCCAGCTTGGCCAGCTGCTCCATGCTAGCCCGCGTCTCATGGCAGCCTCGCGCTGCCAAAGTCTCGGGTTTCGCTGCGTGTGCCAAGTCTCCAGGACTCCGCGCCTCCCCCCCCCCCCGCCCCCCCACCAGTCCATCTGCCTCCCAAATTCGCCGCTGGCTCCATGTGAACTCATTGGTCCCAGCTTGCTGAATGCACTGCGCGCTGGCCAGGAGCAGCCAGGCCCCTGAGCCCGAACTCAGAGTTGCTGCCAGCTTGGGCAGCTACCTGTGCTGCGCACCTTGCAAGAGGCCGGCTGTCCAGCTGCTAGATGCGCTGCGCACGGACCTCTCTCTCCGCCGCAGCGGCCTTCTTGGTTGGATCATTTGTCTCCTAGCACTTGTCTCCCAGCTTCGTTCGCCAGCGCTGCGCGCCGAATGTTGCAGTTTCGGCGCCTTTGAGACTCGAGAAACGGGCAGCGGCATCCTTTTGCCCTCCCCCCCCCCCCAATTCATGCCGAGCATCTTCCTCGCCATCAGGTGGAGGGTTCCTGTGTACCACTTGCACCTCTCGGGTTTGATTCGAGCCAGTCACCCTGTAGCCTTCGTTGATTCGAGCCATAGGGACGATTCGTTTCACCATCAGACTTGAATGCAAACTTATTGGACCATGCCAAAAACTCGTCCTTCATCTGAAAGCGAGAATGAGAGGCCACACGACTCTTCTGGAAAATTGAGAAATCACCTTGGCGGCTGGTCCAGCATTGCCAACAAGCGATTGGGTTCCCTTTAAAATCCCATTAGCCCTAAGAGCTACACTCGAAAGACACATTCAACTATCCTTCCGCCACCAAGATGACAAGCCACCAAAACTGCAAGCATCCCTCTATCGGAGCACGAAGCCTGCTCTCCAAATCCACTTGGGATGAGTCCGCAGGCTGCTCTGCCCGTGCTTTTCGAACACGCCTCAGGGAGTCCGGGAGGGAGGGAGGGAATTTTGGGAAGGAGAGAAAACGAGTCAAAGGATCTGTGGCCATTTGGCAAAGACAACCTTAGCCCTACATCCACAAGCAGTTCCCTTAAGGGTGGGTGTACGCCGCATTCCTTGTGGAAAACTCAAGAAGGAGACGTGACCACGGATGACATTGCGAGGAATCCTCTCTCAGCTTCATGTTTGAGCGATCCCTCAGTCACAACCACAAGGCGTAGGTATGTTTATTTGGGAACGCTTTGGTGTGAGTGCGGATCAATTGGAGGGCATTTCCCGCTAAACTTAATCGCTGCGCGCGTAAGACAAGCCAAAGCAGCCTGGCAAAAGAACCGGGGCCGGCGCTGACTGTCTGGGCGATTGTCCTGTGCCTTATCGCCGATTTTCGCGATGCTCTCCACGATAATCGCAACCTGGCATGTCTCGGAGAACCTTGTCGCCACAAACTTTCACGCGTGTGGCCCGGTGTGCCTGAGAATGACTCCCAACCGGACTAGGCATCACATTTGCACTAGTTCGAATTATCAGGCTTGCCCTCAAAATAGCGTGGCTAAACACCAATTGCCAATTGCCGTTGACTCATAACTGTAGAGCTAAATGACAAAGTAATTTAGGTGGCAGAATGATTCTGAACAAAGCAGCCACTGGAGAATCATGGCACGTGCCTGCCCCCCCGCCCTTGACTGCCACACACAACCGGATTCTCCCACTGATGACGGGAGGCAATCATGTGCTGGGTAGCTCGCAACTTTGAATTGATCATTGCCTTGGTCATCAAGCTGTCAGTATTTCAGTTTCAGTGGTCTGGACAGGTTGCTTATCTCAACAGTTTTGCCTGCTGTCTGTTGGAATGGACTCCACGGTTTAACATTCGGCCGAGCAGGCGTTCTACACATCTCTGATGTCAGGGACTGACTGCTAACATTCCGCGAAGCACCCACACCACGTTGAAGAATTAGCTCAACTGCAGCATGCGGCTCTCTGTTTCGGCCTGCAAATGTTCCAGCCCCATCAATGAAAGCAGGCCACAACGAAAACCCTCGCGGAACCCTCGCGGAACCCTCGGCGGATCCCTCGCGGAACCTTACCTCAGCACCGCCCCGGACCACCCCGGAGCCCTCACAGAACCCTTCAGGACTCTTCGGCAGCCGTGCGAACCTCTCCAGAGCCTGAGGCCTCAAATCTTTCAGCTGTTGGGAACCTTACACGCATGCAAAGGGAACTTCCGGAACCTTGCTGGTTTGCACCGCACAAAAACACTCGCAACCCAGAACCTTACACCTGGCCACACCCCCGAACCTCCGGAACCTTCCCTTGAACCTTACACCTGGCTTGCACCAGACGGCGGAACGTGTGGAAGCTTCCCCAGACCTTATTCGGGCTGAGACTGCTCAGCTGTCAGCTGTTGTGGAACGAATAGTATTCTGCTGTGGGAGTTGCCCGCTCCATGATCCCACTGCCAGCCAACGTCGCCTGCCCAAGCGGGCCGGCCTGCTGCGCCGTGTTTGGTCTCTTATGACCAAAGGAAATGGCAATCAACAAGTAACTGCGCAGCTAAGGCCAAACGCTTCCCTGTTTGCAAGAGCCGAAGCCACATCAAAACCCTGCCTGCTCGTTCCACTTGTCTGTGCCAGGGGCGAAGGACTCTCGGAGCTTCCTAGCCGGCCCTCGCGTTTCCCAGGGGCCGTAGGAATAGGGGACCCCCTCAAAAGTGGGCTGCCATTACACACCCACCGAATGATATCCAAAGGGCCCACATTGACGTCTGCCTTTCTAGAATTGGCCTTTCTGCGTTCTCAAGCGAAATGAAGGAGCGTGCGGGGCAACGTATGAGGCCAGTCACGCCCTACATGGACACTTCGCGAGAGACAGACGCACCAGGCTCTGTTGATTGCGAAGGGTTCTTCCGGTAAAGCCGTTGCCTTCTGCACAGCTCAACTGCATAGAAAAAAGTAGACAGTGAAATGCATAGAGGCACGCATAGGGCAAGTATTGAGGCAAGTGCATAGTGCATGCACAGGGAAAGCAGACAGTGAAACGCATAGAGGAATGCATAGAGACATTGCACAGGGAAAGTAGACAGTGACATGCAAGGAGGCATGCATGGGGAAAGTAGACAGTGAAACGCATGGAGGCATACAGTGACATGCGTAGCGATCTTGCAGTCCTTCTCGCACGAGCACAACTTGCACGAGGAAACTTGCACGCTTGCTGAAAATTTGCCTCGGCCCCAAGAAAGCCAAGGGCGCTCAGATCTTGTTTCCCAACACAATATTTTTTTCTTCCCCAACCCCTTCCCCTTGCGATTTTGAACTTGCCCGCGCGACCCTCTGCGGGTGCGGGATCGGCGTAGTCGATGTGCACAAACTGAGGGTTTTTGCGATTCTTGAGGCGCGCGCGCGTGACTCTGCGAGGATCGGCGTGGTTGAGGTGCAAAAAAAGATGGTTTTTTGCTATTCCGGCCGTGCGCGCGCGACCCTTTGTGGGGATCGTGCGTGTCGGATCGCTCTCGCTATGGTCCCGTGCGAAACTTTGCGTGCGACCCTGCGCGGAGATTGCGCGTGTCAGATCGCTCTCTCGCTGTGGCCCCGTGTGAATCTTCGCATGTCTTCGCAGTCTGCGCGCGACCGTCTGCAGGGATCAGGCTGCAAAGTTGTAACTCTTAAGTAAAAAAGTAGTACGCGAAGCACGTGCCCGCAGCTCCCGCTGCAAAGTCGCAACTTTACGTACAAAAGTAGTACGCGAAGCGCGTCCCCGCAGCTCCGGCTGCAAAGTCGTAACTGTTAAGCGCACAAAAGTAGCACGCGAAGTACGGTCCCGCAGCTCCGGCTGCAAGGTTCGAAACTAGACTGTGCAATGCATAGAGGCATGCATAGAAAAGTGCATACTAAAACGCATAGAGGTATGCATAGGGCAGGTACAGAGTGAAATGCATAGAGGCATGCGCAGGGGAAGTAGACAGTAAAATGCATAGAGGCATGCGCAGGGAAAGTAGACAGTGAAATGCGTAGAGGCATGCGTAGGGCAAGAAGAGAGTGAAATGCACAGATGCATGCGCAGGGAAAGCTGACAGTGAAATGCATAGGGCAAGTACAGAGTGAAGCGCAT